TTCTAACAGTTTCTGCAAAAATATTCCACGGCATTCTTTAACGGAAAATCACATCATTGTATTGCAAAACCGAACTTAATATCGTTTCGCATAATATGAAACGTAAAGCGCTCTCAAATTTTTTTTCACGCATCGATGTAGAACGAGCGAAACGCGCGCAATCGAAAATGCGCAGCGTCTCCGATTACGTTCGCGTCAGAAATATACTGTTTCACCGTGGCAGACAACTCGATTCCCTTTTTACACCTTCTTTTCCGATCCCTTTTTTCTGAGTGCATCGATTTGTATAGCTGGTGTCTCTCGGAAATGTTTCGAGCGCTGCAGTTTGCGTCCACGTGTTGTCACGCCAAGTACATACACAACGTGCACGCGATGCAGAAACGCGCGGCAGCTGTAACATTGTTCGCCTCGTCGTGTACTTCGATATCGCGCCTGACAAAGGAATTAATCGAATTACATCGACATGAGAAAGAATATCGGCTTCTGAAATAAAATGCGCGTTGCGCGCGCGCGCGCAACTACGTTTTTGTATCCCGCGTTACAAAATACGCAGCCGCGCGGAAATGAATTCTGGTCTTTTCGTTCATCTGCCGCTTTTTATCGTGTATCAGACACGAATTTCCACAGGCGATTGTTTATTTCGCAGGAACAATATCGCGTGCAGTATTATTATTTAGCAGCGCGCGGTACATGCGAACGGTGAAAATACTTCAGCAAAATATCAGACCACTGGTTTCCGATATCTCTTTTTCAGTACCTTATGAAAGACATTTGACGGCTACAGTCTTCTGTTTACATCACAGTTGCAATAATCAATATGTAACAACAAATATTTATTTATTTTAAATATATGAAAATGAATTTTATAACTTTAATTTTTTTATATTCGTAGATGTATAAAAAGCTGAAAAATAAAAGAAAAAGATCTTTCGAAAGTGAAATTGGGAACAATGAACGGAAGAATAAAGAACGAAATACATAGTTTAAAGAGCAAGTTATCTTACTTGATAAGATTCTTTGGTGAGTTTTATTGTAGATTGGTCTACAACGTGTCTGTGTGCAAATTCACGCGAAGTTTCATTGTGCTCGCTCGCGAGATACACGCGCGGTGCCATAAAGGATGAAAGCTGGATCGACAGAAACGCACTTCAAGAAGAACGTAGACGTTAGATGCGTTTTCACGCTCGTCGCCAGACGATCCAGCAGATTGCTTCATTTCAGCTGACGCGTAGAGATGGATTCTAATCGAATGGGTCCTCTTTCACGTGTCAGGATACATTTGCACATGTAGTAGCGCACGCCCGAACGCATCTAAAATACGTCGGAATTGACGTCAGAAGCGTGAGAGAAGATAGTGCTAGAGAAAGAGAGAGAGAGAGAGATAATTGGATCTAAAGTACTGAATATTTTTGAAATGATTATATTTTTTATTATTTGTATAATGTTTTGATACTATTTAACTCTTTGCATACAGACACGGGTCTCTTAGATCCACTCAAAAATTTCAAACCAGTGTTTTTAATAAAAATTAATTTTTTTCATACACTTATATCTTTGAAACTACTAGAGATTTTTTCAATTTGGTTTTTTTTCAATCGACGCAGAATTGTTCTAACTTTTGATTCACAAAGACAAAATTGAAAAAATATTGATTTTTTGCAGAGATATTTGATTTTAAAATCGCTTGGGTCTCACAGATCCAGTTTGTATCAAATGACAGTCGTCATTTTTGGAAAAGTTAATTTTATATACAATATACTTTATTTTTTCTTTTTACAATTTTTATTTTATACTTTCTATCTCTTTCAATTTATATTGACAGAAACTTGTTTAGCACTTCATTCTCTTTTCTTTCACGCTTCTGATACGGAAAGCCCGAGCTGATGCATTTTGATTAGAAACTATTTTCGCGTGCGCTCCCCGAAGTGAAATAGTTCGAGACACTTGGTCTTGGCAGAGGAGAATACGTGTCGAGTATGTCCTCTGTGAGCGGAAGTCTTGATCATTGATCTGGCTTCTTCTTTTATACTTACTCAGAGTAGTGCACGGAAGCGTGCACGATGAAATTCGCCGGGGAATGTTATACCAAGCGCGGTCTCGCTGGAAATTGTGTTTCGCTGTTTGTTCCTCCGTCCGTTCGGGGGCTGACATTAATTTAACCTCGTACGAAGTGTGTCTAAAAAGTTCCGCCAACGCGAGCGCGAAACAAAGACAGATGACGTTAGCAGAACTGAATTCTTACCTCTCTGTAACATTTCACGGCGCGTCTACTTGGAGAGAAAAGAAATACAAGTGTCAAATAAAAATGTTCCCTTGCGTTGCTGATAGGACCGAATGGGTTTAGATCTCACAACCAGCATCTTGGCTCATATTCTTATTCTTTGGTTTGTTAGTGTGTAAATTATCAAACTATAAAAGAATATATGCATTGTGTTTTATATGTATGTATTTTTTTTAAACAATAAAGTCTCTCTTATTTTTTGTTACATTTTGACATCACAGTTTCTTTCGAGACTGTGTTTTGGATTAGAATATTTTTGTCGGAGTTTATATATTTTTCAATTTCACCAGATGGTAAATCTTCTGATAACATATACAAATTTTATTCGAAATATTACACTGCGTATCGGAACAGCTTATCGACACGGGATACCTGTGGAAAGTGAGAAAGTCGAAAATGAGATGACGGAGTCGAGAATTGTGGGCCTCGAGGTATACCAGACAACAATGGTCCGCCGATGAGAACTGGCAATTTCTCAGTTCGGCGAACGACCGTGGAAAATTGAGAAACTATTTTCGTTCGCGGTACGTCAACCTCATCGCGCACCAATGGCACAATGCACTTCTGTCAATACGCCCCGACCGTACCGGGTGTAACAGCGCGATGGCCTTTCTCGCCCCCTATCGGCCTGAGCATTTCACAGTGGTGATTTTTTTCTTGTATCGGATAAAATATAGCCCCGGCACTTCGTCGTCGAACGTACGGGAATTTAATGACTTTGCAGAGAGACTGAAAAGTAATTTTCCATCAAGCTGTATCGGTCCACCGGGACACGGTCGACGGATATCCGTCGCGTTTGCACTAAATAACATCGCAGAACAGCTCGCAACGTAAGTGAGTCTGGAAGTTAATTCCGGGACTTCGGACGAAGAAATATGTTCTGCCGTCGAAGCGAGACAAGCAGGTGGAAATAAATGTGTAAAAAAGCAAGTCACGCAACGTCTAATCATTCATGTTACAATTTTGCAAAATGCATTATAGCGAAGAAACGACTATGACAAACATAATAGATTTAACACATATATTTCTACGTCCTCTATACTAAAATGTGGACTAGATCGCAGTCCCCATTTAGTTTTGTAACAGACAATATACACAACATGTATGTACCTATACGCATCACGACATTTGGCAATTATCTCAGCGTGTACGAGCAGTCGATATTCGCGTGCGATAACGGCGGTTGTCCAAGCGAGTACTCGTGCGGACGATAAGCCATAAACGAGCAGCGGTATACACTAAAATGCGTCCCAAGGTGCGTTTTGACTACCGAGCAATTCTAATACATCGAAGTTATTGAACAAGATTAAAGTGGATTCTCCTGGAGAGAATGATAGATATTCTAATTTCTTAAAAGGATTTTTATTCATGTCGTTAAAGTTAGAAGCGATTACAGTGCGAAATAATATCTGTTAACTCGCACGTGATACTCAACATATCATTTCTGTTTACTTAGTAATTTTTGAATGGTTCTCGGGAACAATATGCGTTTTTTGCTCAACAATGGGAAACATCGAAAAGAAAAAAGAAAACGGGATGAAAAAGTAGAGCGAAGACAACTCTATTCCCCTTTTTAGTGCTTCTGCGTACGCCAGAGTTAGTTAGTTGGGGTGCCACAACCCGCTGGGATGGCAAACACACACATGGGAGGACGCATATTTCGCAGAAACGCTTTGGCGCTTTCGTGCGTTGCCGACGAGCATGTATACATTAACGAACGATACCATCGCCGTGTAATATTTGCTTCGGGCTTTCTCGTTTCCCTATTATCGCCGGTCGACGTTGCGGCGAGGGCTGTCGCTTTCGATCGCTTCAACAATTGTGATTTGCGCCGCCACCGTTGCCGCCGCCGATTGTTACGTGCACGTAACCGACCGATCTACTTTATCTGTTGTTTTCCTGTTCGATAGTCCGCAAACTAATTCTAGCAGAGTGGATGGGTAGTAAAGCCAGCCTTCCTCCCCCTCTTCCTCATCGATCGTCCCTCATGACGCTTAATTTTCTCCCGGTGTATTTATCCAATCTTCCCGTGCCCTGTCAACGTTCTGAGGTATTAATAACGCAAGAGCGGGGATAAATTTTCAATGACAGCCGGTGCGCGCGCGCAGGCAAATGGTTAGGGGATGCAGGTGGCGAGACGAGCACCTGCAAAAGCGAAAGGAGTGGAAGCAGAACGGTTTCGTTCTGTTGAAATTATGTCCTTCCGCTCGTGCGGAATCTCGCTACCTCGGGATCGGGAATAGCCCGGTAACAGGCGCGATTTAATTAAGATACGAACAATCCGGGACGCGAAGGAGGTCGCGCGCCGGTACGCTCGATGAAAATATCGGAAAATATAAAGATCGTGCCGACGTCGCCTCCGTCATCGTGTCTGCAGTTTTCCAACGGCGCGATTACCGGCACCGCATAATAATAACGGACATTCTCGAGATCACGACGAGAATATCCGGATCAATAATTAAGCGACGGAGCCTCCCTCCTCCCTCCATCTGTGTAAGCGCGCAAATCTGCGATCGTCATGGACGCATCACGGAAGATGCGAAATTTTCGCGAGAAAGCAAGCGATCTATCACTCTGGAATTTAAACGATAAAGTGCGTAGAAAAAAAATGACACATTTATACACACACATAAAAAATAGGCAAATAAAAATATTAACTTTATGATATCCCAAAATATTTTGTCTCTAATGCTTAGTATCTTACGGTTTGTTGTTTCAGTTGGTGCGATGTATGTGTGCATGCTGTATGCCATACTGTTTTTAAAACTATGGTCATACGTGCAAGTCAACATGTGGTGTCGCTTGAGCAGCCGAAAAAAACCCACGTCAGGTCAGGGAATAAGACGTCAGCTGTCTTGTAATAATCTCCAAAGTAAGTACAAATTACTAAATATTGTATTTCATATATGTTTTATTTTTAACGCGATATTTTAAAACACTCTACTTATATGCTTTACGTAATAAATAAACATGAATATTTAATACGCGGCGTATTACACCACGTACGTGTGATTTTATTTTCTGTTCAAAGACGCATTTGAAAACAAAAAACCAGAAAAAAGATAAAGTATACTTTAACATCTTCTCACGTTTAATTTACGAGTTATTTTACGTGTGTGTCATTCTGCTTGCTACTTTGCAAAGAACTCTCAATAGCTGTGCACAAAAGTACGTCATTTATGACGCATACAAATTACTACCTTTTTTACGTGTAGCATATGCACGTCCGTCGCATTTGTTTTTACAACTGTGCGATGCGTCTCATCGATGCCACCGAGAATCGTACTTAGCGGATTTCCACTCGCTCAGGCGGAAGCCGAGTGACGTAAATCTTCGTCGTTACGAGCGTCGACATGCATATTCGCGTTTACAGGTAATGTTCACATCCAAGTAGTGCAAACACATCCTTCGAATCGGTAATCCACTGCACTCGCGGTATTTGCCCGCTTCTGAAGGCGCGTACACATCGTCGCGGCATACCGCATGTGTATGCGATCCGTTTGTACGTATGTGCGACATGTATGTGTGCGTATACGCGCGTATGCGTTTGCATATATGTATGCGGTGAGGAGAGGAAATAATTTCCACCCAATTTAAACTGCCGATCCAAGCCCGCCTACGTTTCCGGTGTCGGACGCACCGTGGTATATCGATTATTCAGACCTGGCCAACAAAGTCAAATTATACCAGCCTTTCCCCAATAAACTCACCGCTCGGAGTATTAACCCTTTCCCGCGACACTCTACCTGTCCGTGTTATAGCGACACTAAAGCACCGCGCATGGTGCGTTTGCACTTTTAATCGTGATTGCGCAAACGATCGATTTACACGCTCGAGGTGACGGAGTTGATTGGCGCGTAAATGTCGGAATAGATTCCGATTGCGTTTAGGCCTATGCGCGGCAGTCTATGATTTATGTGACGTCACGTGACTCTCTCATCTACGGAGATATCCTACCAGAAAAATAATTTTACATAAAAATAAAATAGTCGAAAAATGTTACTCAAAAATTTGTTTTAGTTTTTTTCATATTTTTAAGGTAAAAGTGTGTTTATTATTATTTTTTTCTCTTTCGTAATTCTATAAACGCGAAAAACTAAAATTAATTCTGTACGGGGATTGTGTGCGCATTGATTGCAAAAATATGAACGTTATCGACAAGATGTTCACGCTTCATTGAAGCGAGAATTTTCACGCTGGACGTGCAATTTCCAACTTTCCTCTAAATTTTGGCGTTCGCCAGCATCCAGGGTCGGGTCTCTCCGCGTTTCGCACCGAAAATTAAGATAGATATTCTCCGATATATGGATATTCGCGTTCGACGTTTTCGTTCGCAGCTAATTAGTCCGTTATTCGCTCGACCGAGCCGCGTCATCTTTTCGCCGGAGAATGTTCTAATTGCAACGCAAAAAAAGTGACGTAGTCTGATATAATTATCGGGTAGCTTCGCGCGCTTGCGCTACGTCTCGACGCTCGGTGCGCGTCTCATCGCGACCGCATTGTGACAGCGACCGGCCAATCGATCGATAGACAAATGCAATCGACAAAAGCCCGCCTCGGGACTCCGTTATTACGACCACGAACTTGTGTAATCTAGCGCGCACATGGACGCCGTGTAATTTTCGTTCTCCTCTACCCGGTCCGCATTTCTCTGGCACGTCGTATTATTACGTCCCGTAATGACGACGTAGAACCAGCCGCGGCGCCTGTAACCGCGTATACGCATCGCGAAGGTGGAGCAGCTCTCGCGTTTTTGTTCGCGTCACGGCTCGATCGATTATAGGAGAAATGAGGCTTCTTCTCGACAGCCTCGCTTATCTCAGAAAAAAAACCAAAACTGCTTTATTGCTAAATTTATGCGAAAGTTCGTACTTTACGCCGCGCACAACGCACACAGAAATTTTCTTTAGAAAATACAAATGTGTGTGTGTGTGTGTACATATAGTTCTTTTATACAATGCAACTTTTAATGAGAGGAAAAAATGAGATGAGTTAAACGGGCACCGAAAATGATAATTAGATGTAAGAATGTAACTACTGATTAGGGGATAGTAGAAGTAGCTGAAATAAATAGAATAGTATCAGCGAACAAGTGCTTAATTTAAGGCAAAAGTAGACGTCGATGTTGTATCGCGACAAGGATGCGAGATAATTTACGAGTCTGCAGGATTGCGTGGTCGAAGATCGCAGGCAATCGTATCGATTGGAGGAAGGTTCTCTTCCTCGGTAGCACCTCGGCGCTTAATTTGTGAGACTTCCCGTTCGAGCGCCGTCCTCGTAAGAATGCTTGCTTCTTTCATCCCCCTCGCGTTACCTCTGTCTCGATATCGATCTTTTTTTTCTCCGTTGTTCGTCTACCGTTTGCCAGATATATGAACGAGGGGGTGGCCTTTAAGTGTGAGACATCCCTTGGCACAAAGACGAAATTACGTCGGCCCTCGAGACACGCCTATCCCCTCGGGCCGAGATTGAAAAAAATAGAAATTACACCCGTCGCAAACGGAAGCTCACCGTTCGATCCACAGCGTTCCCACGAGGCTTCATCCCTTTCTCTTCTCGCCGATAGCTACGATTCTCGACCTTCCAGCATTGTACGACCTTCCACGAAAACGTGACGAGAGCCACTAAAGAGGTCCTGTGAACGCACGAAGGGCCCATCTTACGCAATCGAGGAACGCGGTTGACCCTCACGTACAAGGTTGACGTCATGAATTTCCGTATATTCTCTTCTTTACGATGCAGTATCTTTTATTTACCGCTGTCGGATTGTTGAAGCAACTATACGTCAAATCAAAACAAGAGAAAAAAAAGTCAATGAGAACTCAGCGCAGATGTAGATAGATACGCAATATATATATATAAATCAAGATCAAAATTATTTTAATTAATGTATTATCTGCAAATATTTTGATCTACACCCACGCTAAATTCTTATTGACTTTTTTCTCTCAGGTTTTGAATTGAAATCTCAAGAACTCAATTTTCTATTTGTCAAATACTTGTATAAATGGTTCGTTACACTTACATGTGTACAAGATATTCCTAACACGATTTGATTATCGACATTGCTGAAGACACTTGATTGCTCACTTGACGATTCTGGTTTGTACGCGTACACATTGTGTAATTATAGTTGTGTATAGTGCATCACCATTATCGCGATATGGCATTCTAATACAACGACATTGCTTTATGATGCAGCTGAGACATCTCTCAGCATTGAGATAAGGAATGTCATGTTCTGTCAAGGATATGTCAACGAACGGCAAGACAAGCTTGCCGCCTGCCACAGACAAAGAAACATTTTCTCGAGACTGATGCTTTGCTGTTGTTACAATCACTGACCCAAAAACAACTCTTGTGAAGAATGAAAGAATAGTCACATTAACAATAACTAGAATTTGTTATTTTTAAGAAAAATTCGACTGAGGTATCTATATAAAAAAATTCATGTGTTCCGCGAAGTGCGCGTTTTGGAGCCGAATGTATCGCATCTATTGTTGCTTCTTTTCCGCGTTGCCGATTAGTTGGTTGGTTGATCGAGTCGAATCGAATCGATAAGATTGAGAGAGTAAATAATGAAAAGCGATTTTGAGACAGTTTGTCGTATATGTAGAGAAAATTAAAAACGTAACTAAAGTCACGTGACAGGAAAGAGTAGAAAAACAACACGTGAAAATAACGTGACTGTAATTTATATTATATATAACATTAAATAATACATATTATACATTATAATTTATTATATATTTATAATATTATACTTCATATTGTATTATATGTATTATATACATACTACAGTAATGTCACTGACCTCGGGCGCGCGGCCTTGGCGGGGCACTGACCTCGGCCGCGCAGCCTTGGTGGGGGGCGGTCAGTGACCTCGGCCGCGCGGCCTTGGCGGGGTCAGTGACCTCGGCCGCGCGGCCTTGACGGGGCACTGACCTCGGCCGCGCGTGCACGGTGGGATCACTGACCTCGGTCGCGCGACCGTGGCAGAATCACTGACTTTGGTTATATACTAGAATATTATATATAATATGTATAATATTCTTTTTTTTATTCTTTTCCCTGTCGCGTGACTTTAGTTACGTGTTATTTTTCCATTTTTTCCTTTTTTTTTACTTTTTGAGTTTGATTTTTATACGTTATTTCTGACATCTCTCATATGTACATCATGTGTATTATATTATTTGTAAGACGTATATATTAGCTGTCATTGCGGTGACAGATTAAGTCTACTGACACTACACGTTAAAATAAAAGCAATAATAACGTGTGCATAGCGCGCGCCTGTGTTGTGCTAGTATTATGAAAAAATTCAACTTCATATTTTTACACGAATAATAAAAGTATACACAAGTGGCATTAAATTATTATCATACAGTACTGCAGACCACATAATATTAATTGCGATATACACGTTGTAATTTTGCGTGTCAGTGAAATGTGTAATACACATTCGAGCATGTTGTATGGTCAATCAACCGGAAAAACTTCGAATAAATACAAGCAAATCGAGTTGCAGAGAATGGTTTTTAATTAATAACTCGACGGCAAAGAGTTTACCAATGCACGGTGTGGTCAAAGATTACAAGATTGGTCAAACGAATTTACGTGAAATATTAACGAATCATTCAACTGTTTTCGTGTTTTTTGTTGCCCTATCTCGCGGTTTTGCTGCAACTTCGTGTCTTTAATCGTTCACCGAAATCGCGTCGTAATTTCGTTATTTCTTACGAGAAAGTGCATGAATTTCATTACGCTCTCAATTTACGATACTCTTTTTTTGTTTGCCTGCAAGATACTTTGCTTACAAAACTCACATTGTGATATCGCTAACTTGTTACAATATGTGTTTTTATAGTTAATTACCATTTTCTTTTATTATTTAGTATTTACATTATGTTCGATGTATTTAGTTTTTCACTAAAACAAAGAACTGAGATTCGCGTCGCGGTATCTCAAACGACGATGCTTAGAATAGAAGACTTGTCGGTTTCGCGTGACAACGGTTCCCGAAATGAGAAAAAGAAGTAACGTTTATTTCGCTGTTCGGTGAAAAGAGAGAGGGAGGAGGGGAGAGAGAGAGAGAAAGAGGGGCGCGACGCGATGTTAAAGGGCAGGTGGAATTTAATTTGGTCGAATTCCTCTACATTTATTACGAAGGTCGTGGAGCAACGGGGGCTGTTCCGCCGATGTGGACGTCGATCGGCGTCGCGAAAGCATAACCCCGCGAGCAGTGCAAGCCCGGCGCGTCGCGACGCTACCCGGCGGGCGGCACGCTGTCGAGTTTCGAGCGCGGCGCGGCAGCCGGCGCGCAACCCGAGCTTATTTGAATTCCAGATTGGATTATTCATCGGATTTGGATAATTGAGGGGATTCTATCAGTTACTGGTCCGCGTCGGGGTGGGATTAGACGCGCAGATGGGAATCTGTGCGCCTAGCGCGGCTCCCGAGGAATTCCGAGGTTTCCAGCCAAGCGAATCGCGCGAGCATTCGGTTTCGTTGCTTAAGGACAGCTTGAGAGACTCGACTGGAGCGATCACACAAAGGAAGATAGAATTATGAAACTCCTGGAAATTCTCGAGTCTCGATTCATTATGTATAATCTCATAGACTGCGATCTGGTTGAATGTGATTAATGAAATATATGATCGCACCGACAATAACAAGATTCTCATTATCTTTTGTTACAGCTTCCAACGTGAAACACAGTACGGATGACACCAGCGATTTGGAACACGAAGTAAACGGTCAAGGAAACGCATTGGTGCAATATCCCGATAATCTGAACTTTATCGATCTTTATTATTATATATTAGCGCCTACTTTGTGTTACGAATTGAACTTTCCCCGAACACAGCGGATTCGAAAGAGGTAAATTAAAAATTCTTGCAAGTAATTTGCTTATTCGCCGTATATTTGATTAATTCAGAAATGAAAAAGAATATTTCAAAATCGTAAATTTGTCGAAACTCTCTCTCAGCGACAGATTTTTTTCTCCGATTTGATTTCTTCTTGCGAAAAACGACATCTCTGGTCTTTGTTTCTGTTTACATGTGTTTTCAGAATCCCACCTGGTTCGCTTCGAATGGGAAGCGAGTCAAGTGGAAACTTGATATTGTCTGAGTTAGGTCACGCGAGCGCATACATTGCGTGAGGCGTATAAATCCGTGTTTGCTCTCAGATTTCTCGTATAGATTTCGCCACGACAAACCCCCGCGATACTCTCTTTCTCTTTCTTATTTTATTTTCTTTTCGCAAAGAATGTCAACAGAAGTCGACGGTCTTCGAAATTCGGGAATTTCAAAGTGAACAAATTTTTTTTATTCCGAGAGAAAAATATTAAAGAAGAGAATTCTTTGTTCGATTTTATCGAGAACATGAGTTACGAGCGTCAAAATTGAACAGTTTTACATTGTAACTTAAAATTCTTATTTCCATATTTCTTATTTGACAAATATGAGTTAAATGTGTTATATTTTTACATATTTATGAATAACCCTTCATGGACAGACTGGGTCTCCTAGACCTACCTAAAAATTTCAAACCGATGTCTCTAGTACAAATTAGTTTTTTTTAAAAAACGTTTACATTTTCGAAAATACTAGAGATTTTTCTTAATTTTTCTTTTTTGATCGATGTCCAAACTTTGGATTAAAATAAATTGAAAAAATATTGATTTTTCGCGCAGATATTCGATTTTCAAGTCGTGTGGGTTTCACAGACTCAGTCTCTCCAACTAGTTGGCGTTTTTGGAGTCTGTCCACAAAGAAATAATTTAATTGAATATGTACGCATAAAGAACGATCTAATTTAACTATTGCGTACGTAACTAAATTGTATTTATAACAAATCCAACTAAATTCGATCATTATATGAAGCTTATCATATTTTTCCCTGGAAGCTCGTTCTTTTGACTATATCGTCGCGCTTACCAGTTTTCATAGCGCACTTTTTCCTTTTGCGCCTTCCATGTAGCCGCTTTCGTCGAAAAGTACATCCTGCCTTTACTTGTCGCCGGCAGTTTATCGGAAACGAAACTCACGCGGACAACGTACCGTCGAATAGGAACGTCGTTTCACGCGACAGTACTCAAAAGTCGTATTTTCGATTTTTCGTGAATCGGTTTACGGTTGAGAAAACGAATGCTAGGACATTAACGAGATCAAGAAAGTTGATCGGAAATCGGTTTTGCACACAGTCGTCGATACAATCTAGAAACAAATAGATGTATAGACACTAGTGTCGCATAACGATCAATGTAATGGAATCACACGAATCAAGACATTCGATAAATCCGATATCTATTGTAACGTGTAGTAAAAAATTTACACGTATATACACACATCGGAAATAATATTTTATGACAGAGAGAGTCATATGTAGAAAATACTTAAAAATACTTGTTTTACTAAATGTAGTCTTTTTTGCACAATCGAATATTATCTTATTTACAGATTTCTGATAAAACGAATTCTGGAAGTCGTAGTAGGATGTCAAGTGGTGTTGTCACTTTTCCAGCAATGGATGATACCTTCTGTAAAGAATTCATTAATTCCTTTCAGTGTGAGTATTTGTTATATATTTTATTATTTTGTACGTCGAAAAAATGTTTAGTTTTAATCTCTCTGTGGAAAAATTTAACATAGTGCGGTTTAAATTCATAAAACTTAAATTAAACTTTATAAAAAAGTATGTACACATTTGACGTCTTTCCGATAAATCAGTTTTCATAAACTCTCGACGCGCACTTTTCCATGCAACTTTTATTCCGAAACAACGTAAATAATAATTTATTAAATGAAATATCGAGTTTATAATTATTTATGGAACTAGGCACAAATAAATCAGGGTAACCGCAAGAGCGAAACAACCGATAAGATAGAAGTCGCGGGAGACGAGCAGAAGTGTAATTTGGTTTCGGCAAATAGGTACGATCAATCTTTCGTGTAATTCTCTTGCTCGGAAATTCGGTAGACACATAAATATACGGCAAATTTTGCATCATACTGAACAAGCTATTCTCGAGCTTCCAAATTTTCCCCTGCGACAGAATACACAGGAAAGAGGCAGTTGTCGCGCGTGCACAGTTGCAGTAATATTGTTGCGAGTTACACCTATATCAGGCAATATACTCGTCCGTGCATAATATCGCGAGTACGATGTAAATTGCATTTCTTAAAATGCTGAACAGATGCGAAAAGGAAGGAAACTAAGAGTTTCAGCGACACGTACAAGGTATATTTTTTATCGCTTACGTTTTCGCTTGGAAGTCTTGCCGGTATATTCACGATGTTAATAACTTTGTCGCGAGAATTCGCAGTGTCTCCGTCGCGGCAACAAAACATTTACAGCGGAAACGATATATATCCAATTTATTTTCGCGGCGCGATACCGGTTGGCGGGGGCGGTCTTGATAAAAATAAACGAAAGTGAGGTGAAACGAGAAGAACGCGTCAGCGGCACGTCGTTTTTCCCGTTCGCGTCGCAATAATGCTCGAGGCACACCATCAGTTTTTATCTCGCGCGGAGTTAAATCCTCCGCCTTGATTTGCCAGTTATATTTGATATCGCGCGAGTATATGACGTTATTTTCGCTGCAGATATACCGCCTGTCCAACCGGACGATCCTTCGTCCGTGAGATAAAGGTTAAATACACTTGCGGAATCTGAAATCGTTAATAGTCATTTATTTGTCATAAACGCGAGTTTTCTTGCTTTTCAACGACATTTCCTTATATTACTTGTAGGGTGAAAATGTCTCTACGTAGAGAGACGTAAAACAATTGGTTTGTAATGTCATTATTTCGTCAATACAAATCAGCACTTATCAAAAAATCATCGATGCACTTTTCAGTATACTTGCTCGTGTTTTCTAATAAATTATGAAGTATGTATATTACGAGGTAAATACATAGGATTAACTAAGATAAAGGATATTATATTGGTCAGGAAAAGATCTACCTCTCTCATTTTTTCTGACAATTTTTCTGATATTTTTCCATGAAAAATATAATAAAAACAGACGTGTGTAGTGAAAAGATGCGGCAAATTAATTAAAAAAATCCGTACACACGCACGGAACGGTTAATTAGCCAATTATCAATCGTCGTCAATGAGGTGTAATAACGAACGCTTAATTAAGTAAGCTGCATTGGTGGATGAAATAGAAGGCGCGGGAGGAGGGTTGGTAGTTTAAAGCGCTAATTAGAGAAGTACGAAGAGCGCGTAATTTGATATTTATACATACTTCATAGCCTTGCACGCGTGTTCGTTTGTCGTTCTGACCGGTGCAGCAGCAAACTGCATGTATGCACGCGTCGCGTCGCGCGACGGATAGAAATTTTCCATTGCGTGGCCGTGAGAGAGCCATGGATTTAAATGAGACCTTTTACGCGGCCGGGTTCGACCGCAGCTGATCCGCGGCGGGCGTCCGCGGTTCACCAGCTACGCCCATATTTCGTACGTAATGCTATCGAAAATCCGGATTCCGCTATCGATCCGCTAGAGCTACTGATAATTCAGCCATTCGTACTTTAATGCCACGAGCGCAATAGATTTTTGTTAAATTCGTTGAAAAATATTCTTCTCCTTTTATAAATGCGACCTGATGAAACGGGATTGATGAAATGTTTGTCGTGCTCCTTGTATCAAAAGTTGATTCATTTGATTTGTAGAAAGTGGGAACGCAAATGGAAATATAATTAATTTTCGATTAAATTCGATCAATCCACGACGCTTTCTGATTTGCAATCATTTGTGCAAATACGGGCAAACAGATTGGTACGGCAGGCATCGTAAACATATCATTTAAAACGCATTCAGATCAGATATTCCAATTTTCGCTTCCATCCGTGATTAAAAATTAATTGCTCTTTACAAGGGAAATATTCACCATATAATTGAAATAGCTTTAATAAAACAGATCGGCTGATACTAATATGTTAACATTAATGTCCTTGACACTAAGTTTGTTGAATAAACAACAACGTAAAACACATCAAAGCAACAACATATAAACAACACACAATATTCATCATTTTGTATCACATACTCGTATTATTATCACAGAGCAGTCTTTTTGAAAGTCCGTAGTTTACGCGTTATCCACAGTCGAGCGCATTGTTGCGCGACTTTGCTCTATAGCTGCTCCTTTCGCGTATAACATCGCCCGGTCGAACTTTCGTATTCTCTTCAATTAGTCATCCGTTTTCTCTCTGGTGAAGTTAGCTTTCCGTCGCTTCGTTCGGGACAGGATCCCGCGCAGGATTATTAAGCGTTTCCATCGTCTCGAATCGAGATCGACACGAGCCACTCAGCGGGGAAACCCGGGAACTCGGCCGCGTGATTTCGCGCCGCGGACAAATTGCTTCTGCAAATCGTTCCGACGGTCCTTCCCACCTCCGTCTCTTCCTTCCCTCTCTCCGAACCATCTTCCATTCATTCCCCAAAGAGACTCGAAGGAGGAAACGCTTCGATGGGGACGCAGCGGGAAATACCGTGGTGACGACAGCGTTCCCTCGCCTTGCTGTGATAGAAGCGCACGAAATCGCGATATCGACCGAACGCAAAGTAATTGCCAGTGCTGCTGGGAAGTTAATGTCGGAGAAGGGGCTGGTGTAAACCATCTCCTTCGTCCGTTTTCAAACGCTCCCGGCTTCGAGATCGCTTTTTGCGCGTTATTCTTTCTTCGCTCGGTGAGAAATTGGATCTGATAATTGCAAGTTGCGATTACGACAGTTCTCGATCGAGCGTCCAGCTGGCACGAAAGGAAGACGTACTTGCTAGATTTAGCTCGGCGTGGTCTGTCACTGTCGCCGACGTCACGGTAGCGAGAAAGAAAGGAGTTCGGAAAGCGAGAAGGAGACTGCGCGAGATTAAGAAATTCACGAGGATATTGCTTCTGCCAGGTCACGAGCCGCGGGGAGAAAATTGATAACTGCGGATGATGCTTGTCGAAGGGTAATCGCTTTTTACCTACCGGCGATGCTTCAGGCTGAGCCTCGTTATTCTTACAGACCGGAATGAATGGATAAGAAGATCGGCGCACGGGCAGCGCGCGACCGGAAATCCCAGCGATTTCCTCTGACAAGCAGCCGATTAACCCTTCCAGCGTTGAGAAATTCTTCACATTGCGTCGTCTGCTTCGGAAAAAGTGCCGCGTCGATCCCGTGTGAAAATCATTCGCGTGCGACACGTGTGGATAATTTCGCTCGCTTTATTAATTATTCGCTAAATATAATTACTCTTAATTTAATCTTAGTTATCGTTTTGTTTATATTAGATTTTATTTGCTTCTTTTTTCTTTTTTCTATTAACAATTACATTTTTGTTTTCGTTACACTGTAACAACGCAGTTCATAAAAAAAGATCATAAACGATTTCTTCGTGACAAAAATGCAAAGATAACAACTTGCTTTTCCATAGCTTTTACGGAATTGTGAGGCGTTTTACCTCGGAGAGATCGATTGAGCGATCGAGAAATGGTGAAGAGGGTGCATGAAACGTTGGCTTATCGCCTCATGGCACACTGCAGCTTAAAGGGATGAGCGTTTAAAGGATTTTCGGCGGTACGTCGAAGGTGGTTACTCGAGAAGCATGCGGTTTTATGACGGCTATCAACGAAACATATGGAATATCTTTCTGGAAAAGAGAGAGAGAGAGATTTTCTATATATATATATATATATATTACAATATATCTCTGGATACGGAGAAAACTTGATTTATGTTCCTAATTTAGTATATATATACAAAATTACAAATATTATATACTTTCTTATAAAAATTAAAACACACTGAAACATATCAATTTTTATAGAAAAGGCAACTTTTACATCTAAGAAATAATTATATATAAATATTTCAACAAAGGAAAAAGAGAAAGCGGATCGTATTAAAAAATTTTATTCGTTCGCAAGTTTTTCTTTTCTCTCCGTTTTCTTTCGCATATCGGATCTTACCAAGGTGCGACCGGTTAAGAAGCGAAATGGGAGAAGCTGTCTGGGGTATGCGCGCCGCTCGCCTATTGCTCCTTTTTCCTCCTGTCGGCAAGATTCCAGACACTTGACCAACGTTGTCGAGGCAGAATACCAGAACCCGGTACCTCGCACCTTCTTATATCGAAGTCGCCGATATGCGTTCGTTGGCTGGACGGAAGTTCCGGCGCCGAGTTATGACGCTGCAAAAATTCTTTCGCTGTGATAAGCAAGCAAAAGAAAACGCTGTCAAGGCGGCAGCTAATAAGTAAAACGGTGAGACAGCACGTGACTCGAGCATCGCCGGGAATCGGACTTTCGCGAAAGAGACGCGCGCACCTTTTGTCGGTGATTCTTTATTCAGATATAAAAGGACGTATATGCATAAGCATATTTCAGTTTTCAAATTTTGTGCTGACATTTTATGTGAAATTCTCTTGTAGTTTTATCAAGTTTTTCCTAAAATCTGTATCTCTAAAGGAACTTTGAATTCTGATGTTGTATAATCCGTTTTTGTGTAAGTACATCGACACAGTCGAAACTTCAGTGTTATTCCGAAGTAGTTTGGCAATCCGCTCACTGGACGTTATTACAACCAGCCGTTTAACGTTTAGCGACGTTAACATTCTCGAACTAAGAGACAAGACGGCAAAATTTTATTGGCGACGTATCTTTGTCGAAACGAAGAATCTCAAGCATGTATTTCTTTGACTTTTAACTGACGAGCGAGAAGCGACGGAGCAATTGGTGTTGTGCGCGGAAACATGCTACGGAAACATTTCAATCTTGTGGGGTGGTCGTGATCAAAAAGAGTCCCAGAGAAGTTGAGATAAAATCTCTTGTAAAGAAGAGACTCAATTGTCTCACGACTTTGGCGAAACTCGTTACAGCCGCGGAGCCAGTTATTGTTCCATCTTTTTTTCTCGGCCTGTTTGTCGCGACGTGGGAAGAGAAAATGCAGAAGGTATTTATTCGACCGCTAACTGGTAACGGAAGACGTCGCCGAATGGAGAACAGTGGAGGGTAGTTGTCCGCGGAACCCCCTTTTTGCCAGCGCTCCGGCACGAAACACTTAAGACCACGTCGAGTGCCTTTTAATCCTATTTGTCTTCCACCGCGTTCCAGTAGCGTAGTCTGGAAGTGCGACTCTGGAAGTTGTCAGATCGAAGTAAATATTTTGGTTGCTGCCGGAAAGGAGTTGAGTTAAATTCTAGGAGTAACACACACACATACGGGCGTTAATTCGCCGAAAAACAGATTTGTCGCATAAGACAGATAGAGGAAACTCGACGGAAACTCACTTGACAAACGTTAATAAACGCTACTGTTTTTCGCGTGGCGAAAACAGAATTTATTACGGCGTTTCCTTTGCGAAAAAAGCGCGTAAAGTCGTCATATCTCGCGTGTCCCGAATTTATTGTTATTTCTATTACGCGATCGGTTCTTTTTTCGAACTCTCTGTGATTTGCTATGTCAGTTTGCAGCTGTCAAATACTGATGAAGAGCCGTTGCAATTTTCGCTGTCAATAAGAACTTCGTTTCGAGAACTCGCTCGATTTAGATGACCTTTCGGCAATTTTATCAGCAGATCAAACATATTCACGTATTTTCCTATAGCTCGTAAAATTCTTCAAACATTTATTTGCGTACGTACGCGATGAAGATTCGATAACGTAAGGGCCGCAATGTCGGTACGTAAGCATCTCTCGTTCGCGCCATTGTCAATCGACCGGGATTCAATTCGACTGGAGCGAATTCCCAGTATCTCGAGGACTCTTCCCGGCAGCGGGACAAGGTGTTCGTAGATGCAAAGCCGTAAATCTCTCGGCGCTAATTGAAACGACGGCGGACGAAGGAAACGACCGGCGACGAACAACGGTAGGAGGACTCGTTTTCCCGATGGCGCGCGATGCCGAGGAAATCTTTTCTCACTTCTCCCCTCTTCTCGCATTTATCTTTCGTTTTTCTCATCTTCTCTCGCAATCGCAGCTCTGCAACGTGAATATTCGTTAGAGCATACCAGCAGCAACGCTCGCTTTCACACCGCCGCGAAAAGAGCATCAACACTCGACTCGTAAAGCCAACAAGAAAAAATGACAGAGTAAAGTCGTTGAAGAAAAGTTTTCAGAGCATTAATACAGTAAATAGCTTTGCAACTTCAAAGCGCGGTTTTTTTTTTTTTTCAAATCTATTAGTGTAATTTTTCTGATATTTTAAAGTGTAATATGATATTTTTTAAGGTGTAACACATCATACTCATTAACACTTACAAGGTGATGTAGATATAGAGTAGATAGTGAAAAGAAAGGAGAATAGAAAAAAATATAGATGAGGCTCGGGTAGTTACACGTGTTTTGGACGCGATCATTCGGAAAAAAATCTACTCTTTATTTTCGAGTCTTCAAACATCTTCCGTCACCTCTTCTTTTCATCCGTCTCAAGTGCTGCTATTCATCTACAGAGGCTCTCTCGAGTCTCCATCGTAGCTGCAAGCACCCTCGCAGTTTCACGCAGAATGCAATCACTGGAAATGCGATTTCATAGTAGGTAATACATATCTTGCAAACCGTGCAACAATACGAACAAACATTTCGCTATGTATTCGAGATGGATTGCATTTGAGAGATAAATTTTGTGTTTATTTTGTTTACCTTCTGTATCTCTGATGATTTGTACAGAGAAGATAGAAATGAAATTATCGTTATTGGAGACAACTGTAATAATTAAAATATTTCTTGACGAAAAACATAATTTGTTCAGATTTGTATTTAATAATTATTCTACTCACGCGTTTTTTTTTTTTTACACTTTTCTAGATTAGTTTTTTGCCATCGTTTTCCTTTAAACGGTTTTTCTTAATTGTTCAATAACTATCACGTTTTATAGCACATGTGTACAAGCAGCCGAGCTTGCTATGTCTCGGATCGTAATTATCAGACCGCGTTACGTATCGTGTCTCATTAAGCCGCGCCGTAAAGTTGGCGTTAAGGAAACATGAAATTCTCGTTGAGACAACTTGTTGCTGTCGTAAAAAAATCATTTTCTTCGGAATCGTTGTTTACGGCGCAGTCTTGAACTTTATTGGTACTCACTAAAATCCCTTAAAACGGTAATTTGCAATTAGTTTTCGAGGTTTGCTTTAAAAGCTTATTGCGATAATCAAACGCATTGTCTGTCATTTCTGCACAAGCGGATAGAATTTGCGACACACGTTAATCGTTCCGCGCATTACATATTTGACTTGCGGATCGCCATATAATACGGTCATTCTCTATTTCGTCTTTGTCGTTTTTCTATTTAACATGTCACAACGGCGACATAAATGCGAGTGATTTAATTAACATCGTGTTGCCACTGCGCGTGTGCTACAGAATATTAACTGTAATAACGGCAATATGTCACGATAATTGCAATTAGCGTGATCCAGTTGCGTGTGCTTCACATTGTCATTTCAATCCGCTCTACGTTGCAAAATTGGGAAACAAAACCCATTGTCATTCTCAATTTTTTAATTCCATTTTTGTTATTTTTCAACATTTTGGACATTGGTGTAGAAATTTATGTTCGCAAAACTAAAGATAGACTTCTCGAAATATGTAGATATTATATATGAGTATCTCCTCCTATATTTTTCTTATATTTTGTCACAAGTAGAGTAACAAGAACTTCTACGTATTAGATTCAAATAAAAATCTTTATGTTATAAAGATTTTTTAATTAATGTGTGTAATAATATTTCTTAAACAAATTGTGTGTTTGTTTGTAATTTTCTGTTACGTTTTACGAAAAGATGTTACTCGGTTAAAAGGAAATGCGACTAGTGGCGTGTAGGTGCACGTAATAATGACGTGTTGAAGTCGAGGGTAAGCTCCACGGGTATTTATTTGCAAGCATGGTGTACAAGCACGGCTGACTGTTGTAGCATTTGGAGGGACCTCTCGCCGACAATCGCCACTTAAGCGGAACATCGGGAAATGGGACAAGCTTCCTTCCCTCGTGTTCAATTAGCGCCGCGTACGAAATATCAGTTCTATCGGCGGAAAGCTTTTCTCTCTTTCTCTCTCTCTCTCTCTCTCTCTCTCTCTCTCTCTCTCTCTCTCTCTCTCTCTCTCATTCGGCATACACCGAGCATATAAATCTGTATTAGATAGAAGAAGAAAATCTCAGACGTCTGCACTCGGTAGCTACTGTTAAATCAAGTTAAAAGTTCGCTGTTTAATTTAATAGGGTACATCTTAAGAGCGTTAACTCGGATTTGGAATTCCGGTAAACTTCGTTGATTAATTCATTTATAATTCAATTGAATCTGTGAAAAATATGAAATTCACTTACTCTTATTATATAAAATTTTGATGTTGAAAAAAAAACATACACACTTGTGTGGGTACCTTCCAATATATGATATTCGGTAATGGAATTCCACAACCTCGCTGTGTGTGTAATGGAATAACTTTATTTTAAATATATAAACGTGAAAAATAATTCACGCAATAAGAAGATGATGTTTATATTGTTAATAATCTTTGCAATGTCACATGATCTAATTATTTATCTTTATATGTGTAAATATTCTGTCTCTAGTTAATAATTTTTATCGCATTTTTATAGTTTTGCACATCTGATAAAATAATATTATTTAAAGTGAGATGTACAAAATATCACTATGAAATGATATATTAGCATTGAATAAATTAAACATTGCAGTTTGTTTTCTCGATATTGACGTTAATTCAGTTTTGCATGAAAACAAAATCTTCAATTGTACTGCAACAGAGAATGGCGTATATCGTATATATAGAAATGCGAACAAATATTGCATTCTTTTCAAAAAAATTGACGATACATTTTATTCGATTTAACTTCAACGCGCAACTCAAAAATTCCCGCACACATCGCGGCCGTGGTCTGTCGTATTTTTTGTTTTTTTTATTTTTTTTATTTTGCAGATTTCGTATCACGCGTTTTTCACGCGTGACGTACAAAATAATTCAGTCCCGGTGATCTTGCAGTTTATTGTATTCACGATCCGAAATCCAATTAGAAAGTTACATTTTGTAGTTTGTAACGTGTTTCGCCTATTCGCACACACACACGCACACACATACACACATACCGCCTCACCTCTAACTCTTGCATTTGTTTTGCGTTCAGCTTTGGAGCATATCTACCTCATTCCTGCTCTCTCTTTCTCTTAAAGCAACCCTTCCGCACGTTTCCCACGTATTTACCTTCTACATTAATAATCTCGTGCCTCTCTCGTTTGCGTTGCAGAATATGGACGTAGCCAAGGCCTCGGAGCGTCTTCTCAAGCTGGCGGTGAGTACACACATATATCTACGTACACGTGCAAATTTATAAGCGCATAACGGATGAGTCCGAAACATCTGTATACGCTGGAAGTCGACAATTATCAAAACTTTATTGTGATTAAAACGAACATCTCATGAATGACTCGAAACTATTAAACGTTATTTAATATACACGCAAATATTATTGTTTGCAAGACGTGAGACATTCATGTTATTTTATTATATGTCACGGTATTTCTATAAGACATCAGAGAGAATCGAAAATATATATATTATTTTTATTTTATTATTTTATTTTTATATTATTTTTTCTGAATTCTTTCTTTTAAAGATAAAAGCTCATTGTCATATTATTGTTCATGCTCTGTAGATAGATACTTTCAATTTTCCGCGTTAGATTTTCTTTCCTTTTCCTTCGCGCACACCTCTTATGGGAAAAACCTCGGGGCAATATTTGCGAATTCAATCTTCTCCCCTCTTACAACTTTTCGTCTGAACTTTGTCACGGCTACGAGCTCGTTCGACAGCCGTGGAGAACGCAGAGGCAGAGAAAACTCGTATCGAACTATGTGTCGTCGATAAACGCCGCGCTTAATGCAACATGTTGTAAATCCACGTGGTGCATAAGTCTGCAAGCTGACGCCAGCTTTCCCGTGCGAACTTTGAGCAAGAACATAATCCGGAATGCCTAAGATAGGATTTTCAGATAGATAACGTAGAATATTCAGGACCCTTCATAAAGACTACTTAGCGCGATTTAACTATTCATATCTCGCGGATAATGTCGTTTTTTTTTTATTCGCCGATTTAATAACTCGCGCTCGTTTTACGTCTTTTTTTTTTTTTTTTTTATTCGTAAGAATGGCAAGAGACGGTTAACTTCAATGGTTTCGGTTAGAGCACTCACTTTACGATAAGTTGGATCTGTTGCACGTCGGAAAATAAAGTAAGCTATCCATGAGAACGTGAAATAGAAATGTTGTGTTTCTTCAAGAAAGAGCGAGTCTGGTAAGGATACAAAGAAGGCCCTGTGAGAGCTTCGGGCTCTCTCTTTCTTTTTCTCTTTCTCCATCTCTCTCTCTCTCTCTCTCTCTCTCTTTCTCTCTCTGTTGTGGAAAGTACGCCGGAATCTATGAATTCCTGATTTAAGTTTCGTCGTGCGTCGGCCGTATTCCCGTGACGCTTCCGGGTGAAATATGCACGCTCGACGATGGAAAAAGGTCGTTTGTCGCCAAGTCCGCAGGGAGATCGATGCACAACGATACACCAAGGATGTTGTTTTCATACTTCCGATTCCTTTGTTTTTTCTTTCGGTATAAAAGCAGTTTGTTGGAAAGTGCACGTAAAAGATAGTACAAAAATCTTAATTTTTTTAACATAACAAAGTTTTGCATTTTTTAAACACAGAAATTGTAAAATAATCCATAGAATTAATAATCTATAGAGATCTCTCTTTATTCATAGATATATAATTTGTTTGTTAAAAGAATGTACAAGACTCTCTTAACTAAAAATAAATGTTATTTGTACATGAAATGTTTTTATTGTAACTTATCACAAAATTGAAGAGAAAGTTCTCTATTATTCATATTTCGTTGTCTATTTTAAATTCTGATATCTGTTAGTTTTTTGAGAAAGCGAGAGAAACGTAGGTACGATTGTTTTAAAATATCCTACGCATCGGGAACGTATATTCGTAGCGCAAAAAAAAGACAAAGGGAAAAAATGAACCGATATGCGCGCTGCAAGGATTCGTTCATGCGAGCGCTATAGCGCTCATCGTGTCTTTTTATTCGTGTTCTCCTTGCATCGCGCGCCGACACGCTCTGCTACTCTTCGACGTTCAGATCCGGTCCAAGCGATTCCGCGTCCGTTCATTCGCTGTCGCTCGTTATTCTCTCGTTAGCTCGGATGCTTCGGATCGGAACTAGCCGGCCGTAGTGTTTCGAGTGCTGGGCGGAGTCCAGTGAACCGAATTCAATTATATGAATTCGTCCCAAAGCGACTGTCCTCGGAAGCGTGTATAACGCCGCGCGCGGCCAGACTTTCTCGTCGCCGAATTCGACCTGCCGTTCGGTAGATGTCGATTATTCGCGATTAAAACAGTAGACCGACGGTCGTGCATGACCGAGTTTTGTTATGGGACTTCCGTTCGCTCTCCACGTTAATTGAGCCGGCTGTACTGTTAATTATCACCGCACTCGTCGCGATTCGTGTCGTCAACTTTTTCCGACGAGATGTCACAACGCGCGACTCGGATAACTGCAATGTGAAAATACACGTAAACTTGTTTATAAACAAAATTAAGATATTAATATTAAATATTTGTCTACACGTGAAACATTATTATTACGCGGTGACGCGGCACGTAATCTCTGAAAATTTGCATTTGTCATTGATTTATATTCGCAGCTCGATTTGTAAACCTCATATATTAAGATCAGAATCTTGAAGTAAGATGCAATTAAATATTACGTTGAACACAGTACTAAAATATACGTGTGCAAATCGAAGCAAAGCCATGTTTGAGGAAAGATATCGTGTCTGAATAAGGTCTCGAGAGAAATAAAAGCATCGACCGTCGAAACAGAAAAAGAATTCTTCGACGCGTTCTTTAATAACGCACGAAGGGAAGAAACCTAACCTCGGGGCAAAATAAATTCTCCCCTGCACAAGGGCGAGAGTGTACCCTAAGGTGAGCATACGTCTGGAAGAAAAGTTCTTTCCAATAAGACGAAGCGCAAAAGGTTGCTCATTCGCAGCGGTCGTGACATAATGTTTATTTTTACGCGCGCGGAAAAAATAATTGTTTACCGATCGTCGAACCGGTTTCACTCTCTCGATCTTTCGCGCATCCTTACTTTTCGTTTGCACCGCAAATAGCCGGGAGATCTGTCGTAGACTTTCGTGACTGTCGAGGGTTAATTGCGGTTTTTATGTACGAAGTCGAAGAAACGGGGCACAAAGTACAGGACAAGACTTTAATCTCGTCGTAATGGAGAAACGGCATTTCGCTCTGCTAGCGAAGCCTCTGCTTTCTCTTTTCTCTCGTCTTTCGTCTCGATCTCGTCGCTCTTTACACACTTTGCGTGCCTCGTTCCGAAATTCCTTTGACTGTGAAAATCACTCGAAAGTGCAAAACGGCTCGTCACTTCGTCGCTTTTATACAAAGATTGTAACTATCAATGGACACACAGTATAAGTGTGTTCTTTAGACGACACGAAAGATATTCTCGCGTCAATATACGTGGCATATACTGCCTTCAATATCAGTCGTTCCCAATTGTATAATGTGTTGATACAACATTGTTACATTTGAATTATTTGTGAATAGCGATACGAGCGCTCGAATATTCGCTGTCGATCAATACCCATCTTTGGTAGAGTTCTTTCCGAGCAGTCTTGTGTCGCTAACTTTGATTATTCAGCGTTTGCATATTTATTCGCATAATATAGCTTCGCTCTCGCAAGCCAATAGCTCTGGTTCTCGGTAAAGTTTAAAAAATTCGATCTACTCGTATTTACATTCTCTATCCTGTTATTACTGGGGTATATCTTTCACATGTTAATGTCCTTCGAGACCTAGCAAACGTAAACGTCTCCGATAGACAGATATATGTCATGCATCCTCGAAACACGAAGAAGGGGAAGGGAGGGAGAGAGAAAGAATAGCACTCCAAGAGTGGCTAACGTCAAGCGATCGAGAAGAAAATGGAAAATATCGATTATCGGCGATGTACGCGCATAGAATACATGTTCACCTCGTTCTCATTTTTTTATTTATTTTTTTCTAAATACTAATGACGCAGATACATCGATCTGTTTGAGCACTACATAGGTACGTATTGATACGCACGTGCAGAAAATTCACGCGCGGATCGTCCGTAGTAATTCGATATTCTCCTGCATTATCGATGAAAATCGACCGGCGGATGGTGCACGTAAGCCAAGCACGCATTAATGTTATGCGGTTGGCGATGAGATCAAGCACGAATCGGACGGTATTGCTAGTTTCTTGCGCGACGAACGATGGTTCCGAGTCGTGCATCAATATGAATGAAACGCTCTTCTGTTCGCGCGCAATCCGCGCGCGCGCGATGTCTCGTAAACCATTCGCTGGTTTCGATATTAGATCTTTCTTGGATCTCGACATTAATCAGTAATCTGTATACGAGATCTCGGGGGAAAAAGAAGAGTCAATTTCTAGATAGAAATCCCTCCGAAAGGAAGAAGAGAGACATATTGTGGAAAAAGATGTACTTTTTCGCATTGTGATACAGAGAGAAATTCAAATTCTAACAGATATACGAATACATCTCAAGATCGATACGTATAAAGATTTGATAAACAAAGAAAGATTCCGAAATTCTAAGAGATAACATTTCGCAGAACTTCAAGACGTAGCACGCGGATACATAGAGGAATTTAAAGGATTCGAACATTTCGAAATCAACATATTTCCGCCTTCAAAGTTTCTTAGTATCGATGAAATGCCATACACACGCGTGAGCGCGCGCACGTATCCTTTGGTCGCGTTTCACCGGCAAGATTTTACATCTTCCGTATAACCCCTTGGAGAGCAAGCGCTTCCTTCTCAGATAGCCTCTGGCCAAGGAGGCAGCTTAAAGTTTACCGCTTTTCCCTTTGTGGTATCGTCGACGTGTCTCAAACGATTCACTGGCTTTTGCTTTGGCTGCCTTCAGCCTTCCCCTCCTCCCTTCAGCATCGTCATTCCCTCTTCGCAGATCCCAACTCCTTCTTCGTCTTTCTTTTTCTCTTTCTCGGTAGCATCCCCGAGTAAACGAAATTAAAACGCCGAGGTAAGTTTTCCCGGACTACCGTGGACGCCGGAAGAGGTTGCTGGAGACCGGGAGGAAGTGCTGAAGGGTCCTCTGTCCTTTTTTCGAGAAAGTGCCGCGGATGCTTCGCGTCGCAAGAGACTTGACCTTTGTGTCTGGCAACATTATTAAGTCTTTTGCTTCGCGTGAGAGAGCTCGGTGGAAGCACGCGGATGATACCGCAACTCGGCGGCTCCGAAAATGGCATCCGAAACGAAATAACTTCGAAATTCTTTCCCGTGAAGCGAGCAGTCCGTCGAGAAATTTTCGCAAAGGTATTCGTCTGATGTTAGGTCGAGCCTATACTTGTTCTTTTTTTCCTTCTCGTCGCGCTGCTTCTTTGATGCGGAAACATTTATTTTGGTTGTTTTGCTACGGAAAATGTCAACAATGTTGCGCCACAAGGGAAAACAATCAATCTTAAAGAACAAAATCTTGAGATAAAAGATCCAATCAACTGTCAAGAATAAAATGTAAATATATGTACAGAGCGACATTGTATAGAATATATACAATCGTGTATTTTCTCTTTCTTACAGCTCAAGAGAAAAGAGAAGAATTATATATTCAGAAAATATAATTTACAATCAGATGGAATATTAATATTTGAACAGCACATCGCATTATGCATGCGATAAATGATCAAAGAATCGGTTTAAATTACTTCCATTAAAGCGTAATTAAAGGAACAGACGGGGATAATTTATAAGTTCGTTATACACAGTCGTCTCACTTTCATCTGCAGATGCGTAAATAATACTGCAATACGCTCGTCTCCGTGCGCTGATTACCCTCGTTTCAGTTAACTTTTTCCGGCGTCGTTATCGGGCATCGCATTTTATTCACTCCATTAAAAACATATATAGTCAAAGAAGGAGAGAGCTTTGACGATTTTCTTCTACTTTTCTATAATTGCAACTTCTTTCTTTGCTTTCTGCATTTCGGATCTATTTTTTTCTTTTTTTTTTCTTTTTTTTATATTCTTTATTTATACCCTTATCTATTTCTGTAGAAATTTGTTTCTGACAAAACTGATAGATAATACTAACAGATGATGATAAATAATTTACATATACATGAATCTTTGCTTCAGATACCAAATCACCTAGTATGGCTTTGTTTCTTCTATCTGACGTTTCACTCCTTCTTAAATTTGATGGGCGAGCTGCTACACTTCGCGGATCGAAATTTCTATTGCGACTGGTGGAATGCCAACAATATCGATACTTTCTGGAGAACTTGGAACATGCCAGTTCATCGTTGGGCTGTACGGTAAATAAAATATAATGTTTATTTATAATAATATTTGATATCTGACATTTTCTCGCGTATACATTGTATTATCTTTTTATTTTCAATAGTTCTATTTTTATTTTTATTATTGTTTTATCTCGAGATTCCGCTGTAACAATTTTCTATTTGTGTTAAAATTCCTATTTGTAAGTTAATATTTTTATATGTAATTTTTTAGCTCATGTATATCAAATTTTATTCTATATATATATATAAAATAAAATTTGTGTAACACACAATTAACTTATAACAACATAGTCAAATATACGAAAGATACATGCAGCTGGAAATTTCTGGTCCTTGAAAACACTATAGCTTTTTTTTTTATAAACAATCAGACAGAAACTCGCGAAAAATGTAATTAAATCTTCTTAAAGCAGGGCATACTCATTAACAAAGTTTAACCTTGCTTAAGTAGAACAGAGAAAGTCGATCAAAGGTCCGGTTTGTAACGTGACTATCTCTCTTTCTCTTGTTCTTTTCTCTTTCTTGTGTGCTGCTCTCTTGCGCTGTTTACTCTTGCCATCTCTTTGTTCCATAACACTCAACTTTCTCGCATAGAAGGAAAAACTCTCCTTTACTTTGCGTACTTCGCATCTTTGACTCGACTTTTAGAGATAATATGATTATATAATGCAATACGCATTTTGCGCCAAAGTCTGTTTCACACCGGCCGTCATTTTGACGCGAAACACTCTCAGGTAACATCGGGGTCGTGCCAATTACGTGCAAGCATCAAGCAAGCAAAGAAAATGACATCACATTACTGTTTGTTTTTATTTTTGTAAAATCGCTTATTGTTTTGCAAAATTATATATATAGAAATTTTATTCTAACTTAATAAACTCGGTTACATATAAGTTAAATAAACACATTTATGCGATTTAAATTATTTTATGCTTTTAAAATTACGAGAGAAATTTGTATATGAGACACGTGAAAACATGTTACATTAGATCGTACACGTTATTCGAGAGACAATATTTTGTCTTGCAAGGATGAGCTTTCGTGCGCGCAAAAACCTTTTATTCCACCTAAAATGTCTCCTTCAACTCATACATCTCAGCTGTCGTCGCCACATTAGATTATACATCCCTCGCTCAATACAATCAGCGAACTTCCGAAAGACTTTTCCAGCGGGCCTTCCATCTTCCACGGTAACCCATCGCACGTGCACCTAACAACTCGAGCCCATAGTGACGACCTCCTTTCACGAACCCGCGCCGAGTTCTTTGTAGTTCGGGTAGTAGCCCAAAAGAAAGTTTAAATCCCTGTAAAAGTGGTAGCCGTACGAAGTTCTTATTATGTGACCGAGAGAAAAAGAAGCCGTCGGAATTGCCATGTGTAAACTGCAGGGATTTACCATGAATGTCATATGAAGAGACGATTTACCATACTTTGTGTGTCATGAGATGATATTTTGCTCTTTATGAAAACAATGTAGAAAGGATCTTTTCTTGATGATATTGCGGAATACTGCTTGCTTTAATACGAATATATTGCGACAAAAGCACTTAATTTTATCACGCTTAAGAAAAACGCTCGTTTCTCGAATTAGTCATGACAAACGTATATATGTAGAAGAGCAGCAACTGACATCGTGCGACTAGAGCGACACTGTGTCTTACGACGCATTTCTTATATAAAACGTGACACGTAACGCGAAAATGACTCGCCATGTTTTCCTTTTATAAATGATATAAAAATAGAGAAAATAAGGTTTCACACTAAAGAGAGAGAGACGTCGCGCGAATTTCCGCGACACGAATTTCCAAGTCTTACTCCAAAGGAGCTCGGCGCTCCTTTTTTATCCCCAACGACGCACCTGCGCGGCTTACGGGGTCGGTCGTTTCTGTTTTTTTTTCTTTTTTTTTTTTTCCTCCGTTCTAACCGAGATACGCAGCTGCAATTGCAAGGCTGCGACTGGCATGCAGCCCATAGTGCGCGCGGGAAGGGGAGTCGAGGTGAAAATGGAAATGTTCCCCGGACGACGAGGGGAGAGAGGGAGACGACGCAGACGTACGTAGGTTGACGACAACGTCGAGGCCGACGACGACTGCGGAGCGTCTTTTCAGCGGTTTGTAATAGGAAAAGCCGATACGCATCGCGATGCGCACTTAAGGCTGTTTATTCCTCGCGGCACTTATAATACCTCTATAACTGCGAATGTTCCCGAACGCTTCGCCGCGAAGAAGACGCTCGCTTTGGAAAAAAAAAACGAGGAAAAAGAAAGGACGATGAGACGCGGAGAAGAGGAATCGAGCAGCGAGAGAGAGTTCTGAAGACACGGTAAAACGCGCACACTCTTGAAACCCTCAAAACTGTCGTCGGCGACGTCCGATCTTTGAATTTTCTTTCCTTCCGCCATTCTCTTCTCTCTCAGCACTTCTTTTACCGCTCCTTTCTCCCGGGACATACTCCTTCGCGCGTTTTGCCTTCTTTCTGATGCAGCTGCACCGATAACCAGACGGCTAACGATCTTGTTCCGAGTTACCCGTTTCTTGTCTCGCTATACACAAGCTAGACCGATAATGGGGAAAATGTCGCCAATCTTGGCGAAACTTTTCCGAATATCGCTTTAATTTTTCGGTACCTCTTGACTTCGCGCGTTTCGTCGACTATCGTATTTACCTTATCGGAGCACAGCTTTTGTGTGTATTCTATCGTCTAAGATTCTGTGGCAATGCATAGTCCTTTGTGATGCCGATAATAGCATTGTCGTTATAACAGACAAGCGTGCTCTAAACGTGCTTCTCGTTATCAAGCTTAGAATCACCAATTTCAATCGCAATTAAACCGCGCTGTTAGAGTATTTTCTGTCGATTTGATTGTAAAGATTTAATCGAAATGTGTTTTTTTCTCTTTTACAAAAGCTAGAGACGTTATCGAAAAAGGAGTCGAGAAAGAAAATTTGATGTTTATCTTCAAATGAAAAATAAATTTTATTTAAAAAATTTTCAAAAACACAAAAACTTTCACATTACGTTTATATATATTTATATTTTACAGACATCTTTATATTCCGATCGTAGAGATGGGCTACGGTAAGACGACAGCATCGGTCACCGTATTTTTTATCAGCGCCTTTTTTCACGAATATCTCGTAAGCGTACCTTTAAAAACCTTCAAGACATGGGCGTTTATGGGTATGATGGGACAGGTAAGAGCTTCGAGCGTTTACCTCGTATGTATTGTTGACTGTGCAAATATTGATTCTAACGTCGAGAAATTCTTATTGATCCTTCAAAGACCATACCGTACTTCAGGCATTTTCAATAACACTCGTTCAAGATCAGTTGATCCTAAAATAGAATTAGAACTTTTTCAAGCTATGAGAGAAAATACATATATATATATTTTCAGTTAAATAAAAAAAAATATATATATATATATATTTAAAACATAATGTCGGACCATAATAGACTTTGTCATTGACATGTCTCGTAGTTGTATAAGTGATATAGAGATTTCACAATTGTGGACATTGCAACATCATTCGCTATGCATCTTTACATGAAATTACGTTGCGCATTACAATACGTCATGTATGCACATGCAAGATTTAGTTCGCGCTCATAAGTATGGATATTCTGGTCGTGCAACGCTAATTGTTCATTCTAGATACCACTGTCGGTGTTGAGCAAGATGACGGAGCGATACTGTGGCGCCAGATGGGGCAACATTGTCGTATGGGCAAGTCTCATCATCGGGCAACCACTTTGTATAATGATGTATTATCACGATTACGTTGTAACTCATTTTGGCGAGACTCTGATCGAAGATTATTCCGTGGTGTAAAGCAGATTAAAAGGATGAAAAACGTAAAAATGCGAAAGAAGAGAGAAACCTCAACGAACAATCTGCGATCGATCTATTCTCCAACATTGCCTGTTTTATCGATCGCAATTATTCACTTGTCTTTTAACAAGTACTGTGCGATGATTTGCCTCCATTAAAAATTAACACAATAACGTGAAAATGTGCCTTAAATATAAGTTTAAGTTTTTTTTTTTTGAAGATTTTTTTTTTATTCATGAGAATGTAGAGGGTGCGATGTGAGAATAAGAGACTTAAAAAATGCAAACAAAGGTGTCTCGAGTTCGATGATAATATTATTATTATCTTATATTTTAGAAAGATAATATACTATACATTTAAAATATAAAAATAATATAGTATATATATAATATTATAAAATATCAAAATAAAGTTGTAAATATTATCACATGTAACGTAAAATTATTGAGTGTAGGCTTAATAATTTTTATATAAAAACTCTTTGGTTCGCTCTTCATTATAGTCGAGCGAATCTGTTGTCGAATAAACAAGATATTTCATACGAGTCTTGTTAAATTTTGTTTCCACACCTCAAGAGTGGCCGCGGGGTCACTCGGGATATTATTCTTTCAGCTTTAAGAACTAGAAAGTTGTCTCGTGAATAGTCACGAAAAAAGATAGCTTTTTAAGGGCGAGCCCACATACAACTTTTTCTCACTAATGAGGCGGAAATTATACATATGTAAGAGGTAAGATTTTACATATACATACACACATATACGTTATATAAGATTTCCCTGATAATACATATTTCAAAATACAACGGAAAAAATTGCCCTTGCTTGAATATATAAAAATTACTAAGATTTTATTTTATGTCAGAATATTAAGATATATTTAAAAACTTGATTAATTAAAACTTCATATTTGCTAAGTTTATCTCTTAAATTTTACGGGTTTTGAAATTTTAGTTTATCTTACGAATAAAATTTTTTACTTCAATACATAGTTCAGTTTTTCCAAAAAATTTATTTAAATAATAGTCTTCTTGTTTTCTTTTAAATTTATATCATATAGCATATAACTTTAATTTTTAATAAAACAAACAAAGTAAACAACCAAGTAAACAGCGTATATCTGTACAAACTATTTGTTGTCTGCGGGAATAGTTATAAAGCCACGTCACGAACAAAAAAGCTGAACCCTCGGGAGAAATACTTCTTTGAGCTCTGACCCTTGGGTTTTTCTTCTCCTTGATGAGCCTGGATATCATGATATGTGTGTCTCTACGATGAATTAATGACACTGAAGACTGATGAAAACACGTTGGTGGCAGAATGATATATGTACAAATATCCACAAAAAAACGTAGTGTCAGAATTCCATTTTTTTTTTTTTTTTATAGATAAAACGTCGTTACTGCTTTGTGTGACAGATATGTTATTGTCGATATGCAATGCAAAATACTAGGGCATGCAGTCATTTGTTATTTAAAAATAACCGTGTTGAAATGAAAGACGCTTTGTATAATTTTTTAACACCACGCACGTCACAATACGTATCACCTCTTAATCTCTTAAGATATTAAGTGGATAAGAATTTTATAGGCATCTCACGAGAGTGAACGCGATGCGTGTCGACCTTACTTAGGATCGCAATCTTCTAGAGCGACAGCATATCTTCTACAAGTATATGTGTCGTCATAAAAGAAACTTGCGTGTAACATTAAACGTAGACTTCTTATATAAGTTGCAATTTATTAATCAGATAAAAGGAAAGGGACACGCTGGAGTTTAAACATGTATATATGTATCTCCTAGAATAAACTGGTATTTTTCTTTCCACATCTCTAATGCGTCAAAAGAAATCTAATCTGTGCGTATTATAGTTATGTTTTACATAAAATTACGATAAATTATGTCTACTCTATATTCTTCTTAATTATTTACGTTGCAATTTTTTCTCTTACATATATACCTTTACATTTACATTTCACTATTGGCAAAAAAATGGAACAGTAAAATTTTTGTGATATCGGAAACTTTTAAACTGACAATTTAATATTTGAAATATCGTTTCGCTCGCTTTTTTCCTAATTCAAGCATATTTACATACAATATAAAATATTTTCGCTCTCAGAGGAGGATTATAAAACTTGTTACTGTCAGGAATCAACGTTTAATCGATCGAGGGCGACGTAAATGCAAATGTCGAGAATTAACTCGACAACATCTCTTCGAAAATTTTCCGAATTGTTTTCAGAGTTAAAGTTTCGTGTTGCGAAGATATTTTCTCGCTAGTAGTAGCAGAATGCCCGAATGTCTGTGTCGCGCTGCGCTCAACAAGTTAAATCTTATCAGCTTGCCGGTTTGACTTTAGCATCATTATAGCGGTTACCTGTTAAATTGGCATTTGCGCCTGACGTGGTAAATAACTTTGTTGGCGCCGAAACTCCGAAACACGAACACTTTTGTCGCTCCAAGCAGCTGAATTGTTCCGTAAACTGACACGCTCGAGAGTCCGCTTGAAAGTAACATAAAAGCAGGAATTACTTCTCTTGATACGTGGGACTTTTAATTTAATTGCCTCCACGGCGAGAACGCGGCGCGCTCTTAAATTGACCCTACATAAAAATAATGAAAAAAAGCAGTCGCGAGAATATCTCTACCATTTTTGAGGCACGTGGCTGACGTGTACTGCGTTACAATACCCGTTGGACGCTTTTTATGACGAACGACTCGGCCATTTGCGAGAGCAAAGCGTGAAATTCATAAATACCGGCGCGCTGCCACGTTAATGTTAATTTAGTGTCGAGTAAATACAACGATAAAGAAAAATTTAACAACTTTCCACCGGAGGTTCACATCCCGTCGTACATATATTTACAATTACTCACTTTCACTTTACCAACTTCGGCAAACTTTGCGCAAAGGATCAGATCTTTGATACGCATATCCTTGAGAAGTGTAAGTATACAGCGTCCCTACAGCGATGAGATAACGACGATAAAGTGACACGTCGCGGGAAAGCGTATTTTTCCGCTTTAATGCGATTGCAAACAAAAGATTGAAGTAACCCATGAAGGAGGAGAGCCCATTCTGTTCGCTCTCCTATCTAGAGCTCGCTACACCAGGCGACGAAGCATCCCCGAAGAATGCATCGCTCGGTACCTCGAACGAACGCTCGCGTTATCCCATAAGGTGAGCCGTGGGGAGAGGAGAGGTTAGGGGTTGCGCGAGAAACGTTGGAGAGGGGATGTCTAAAGGGTGGCGAGGTGGCGTGGCGGACTATGATGGTGGAAGGGTGGTCAGGGGGCACAGGAGGCGCAGAGTGAGCGCAACACGATGCTATAAGGGCGGGTACGCGGCGGAGTCTCCGCAGTGAGCGTCGCGACGCCTCCGTGGAGAGTGTCGCACGGGTCGCACGATCGGTGATCGCCGGTGCACGAGGTGTCCCGCTCTTGTCGCGAATTACGCCAACGGTGTGAAGTGCCGAAGGAAGTTGTTACGCTTCTGTCGAGCCGCGAGCCCTGATAAAGGGTAAAAGAGCGGCGCGGGGCCGGTGTTCCGCACCATAGAAACTGCAGCTGCGTTTCGATCCGCCCGGAAAAGCTCTCTCTCTGTCTCTCTGGATGACCCAGGACGAACTCTGCGCTGGAGCGCAACCAGGTTGGTTTTTATGAGATTCTGGGAGGCGGAAACCGGGCAAAGAAACACGGAGCGTTTAGACGAGCGAGCAAATGAGCGAGCGACGTTTTCGCGTTCTGCAAAGACTACCACCGAGTCTGCCCTTTGGAAAATAATACATACGCTTTGCCGGAAAGTCTTGCAGCGACAAGCTGAATAACTACCGGCATAAATACGTCAAGTGTAATTTATATTCCATTCAATTTAAACGTAGCGTCGTTGGAAACGAAATAAGGTAAGCAAGATGGGACAGAGGCATGTTATATGATCATAAAAAATGGTCGGTGTATTCATTCAAGAGAGAGATATATATTTTCCGGTTTAAAAAAAATATGAGATTTCTTTCTCTTACTTAACGTCATTTGATGAACATGACTCTGTTTCATTTTGCTCTGTTTTATCTACTTTATACTTTTCATACATGACTGCGACACATATACCAAGAGCTTTAAAACAGCTCCGTATATTCTTTCTCTCTGATAATTTGTAACATTAATGATAATTTAAATATTAAATAACAAATAACGCGGATATCGATGAAGACGTGAGCGGAATTAAGAGTCACTATATTACCCATAACGTATTCCATAAGTACTAATTAATGAAAAGCAAACGCACGCGGGTTTTGCGCGAATAAAACATTTAATAATCCCGATAACACGTAGCCGGAAGATATGAACTGCCGATCTGAGCGTCGTCTCTAATGAATAGGGGGAGATTCACAATGTTCCTGTTTATTCCGTGAATGTATGCCATTGGGTGGGTAAATTCGATTCCCTCGCGATATTTACTCGGATACGAGTGACGTACATTCGAGTAAATCGAGCCGCGGACGATTAACGAAAGCCGGATATCCGAGAGTGTTCTCGACGAGCAGACGTATAGTGGATCCTTTTTGCTTTCGCTCTTAGATGCACGTTATTCTGTATTTCTCCACCGATTTCAATTACGATGCTACGCTAGGATCACTCGTTAAAGAAAACGCAGAAAAAAAATATATTACTAATTAAATGCGCTCGATTATTCAACTTACATCGATGTGAATTTGTTTTTCTTTTTTATCTTTTTACGCGGCACGTCTTGCATAACTTTTATAAATTGCTTTACAAATTTTTTCATATGAAAGTCAGTACTTCAGTTAATTCATACGTTTATATCATGGTCTATTTTATGTACGATCTCATTCTACAGAATGAATATTTCGTAAATCTAGAAGTGAGATAAAGAGACAGAGATAGAGAGAGAGAGAGAAAGAGAGAAATTTAAAACAATCAATTGCAGTAAATCCAAAGAAGAGCATATCCTTCTGAAAAAAGGACTAGATTGACTGATACTAATTAATTGATTGATACAGCTTTATTATTAATTGCGATAACTTTTCAAATTAATAATTCAAAAATGTCATTGTATATCCCGGTATTCTGAGATATAAAAATAGATTGACTAATCATTTTTTACAAAGTTTTCATTGATTTCATTTATCATTCAGACAACAAAGTTTCTTAACGGCAGTTAAAAAATGTTAATCTCGATACACCTATACATAATTATACACATTATTATAGTTTTTATTAATTTGTATACTTTATTGAAGCACTAATATACAAAATATTCATTATTAATAGCTGCCAGTGGTAGAATAATTTCTTTGGAAAATTTTCTTGGAGAAGTACGCACAAGCTTCATTTAAAAATTAATTACTTAGCACCCGAGTTTACCTGCAGCACTAAACGGCAGCGGTTAGTTCGCTTTAATGCGCTTCGTTTATAAACCTCGTCGAAAATAGTCCAAGATCGATCAGCGCTGCCACGACTCATCGGTTTTCCTTCTGCCGTTTCTTTCTCGTCTCGGGAAACCGTCCCCTCATTCCGGACGTCCGATAACAATGACTCGACGTTTGTTAAAAGCCACGCGCAGCAATCTCACGTGCAAGAAAAATGGTACTGCTCGTCTGAGAACGAAGTACATGTCCGCTACCGACACATGGAAAATTGAAACGATCGTCATCGACTGAATTATCGTCTCTCACGCTTGAATGTACGCATTATTACTATACTGGTAATGAACGCGATGCGACAATTTCTGAAGAAAAGAGTTTTGAGCGCGATTGCTTGTTTTTAGATCAAATTTCCGCGGCAAAAAAAAAAAAGAGGTTTGAGGTAAAAATTTACGCGATTGAGATGACGCAAAAAGTTAATTGAACGCGTTTTGATGTATAATTCTCGAGTAATGCACACACGAAATTATAGTGGATATTAATCTATAGTTTGAACAGTCTGATCTATTGTTTGAATAATCTGAGTTAATCTCTATTGAGGGAAACTGTATATGCAAATCGGAAGTTCGGTATCTTTACGTTAGCTCCTTTGCACTGTCCCTTGGGATTATAATGCGAACTACTTTGGTTATATCGAAGCGGTGAATGCCCTGAAACCATCCACGTCATGACGGGCCAGATTATGCAAAATTTCAATCGATTAATCTGTTCCCCACTGTTCCGCGAACATTGTCGCTCCGTCATCCATGAATCGCCTAAGATAACAAATATAATTTATCATATTTCCATGATTAGTAACAGGCTGCTACGTTGTCGGAACTACATATTCAAAGGTGTATATACCTATCTTGTAAATTTTTGATAGCCCGAACTATTATCAATATATACATGTATATACGTGTACGTATGTGTGTGTGTGTGTGAATTAACAGCCTCTAGCGCACAATTCTCTGTTATCACAAAGTCGATAGAATAGAAATGTGCGATCATGTTGATCGTGCAACGCGTTTATATAACACACTCGCAACTTTTAACCTCATACTGCGAAAATAAAGGCCGATTTCACGCGTAGAAGCGCGTGTGGTGGATTGCATTTCCGTGAGCGGAATCATTACAAAATCGGCGTAGCACGAGCGCAAGTGGGAATAGTTATTTGCTGTTCGATTGCCGAATGATCGCTTGACCAGGCTTTTGACCCAATTCCCGACGGTCGTTACCGATTCAGGATTATCCGACGTACAGATAGTCTCGTTAATGGCGGCCCGTCAAGCGCGACACTGTCGGTTTACGAAACAAAAAGTGGTACCGTGCAAAACAGCGCGCAGACAGTTCCGGTAAAACATAAAGTGGATATTGCGCCTTTTATTTTAATATTCATCTCAACTAGAAAGACATTAAACAAGAGAACTTGTTTTTATGCGATCGAAGCTTCGGAAAGCTTGTGCGATGTTTAACAGTTGGACGTTTCCATTACTAAAAAAACTAATTGAACGTAAAAGCATAGAAATACTAGTAGAAAAAATTAAAAAACTTTAAGACATGTTGATATATCAATCATATATACATATATATATATTTAGTAAAAAATAAATATGAAAAAAGTGAAACTATTTTAATTAAAACTTGAGATGGTTTGTTAAAAATGAGAAAATATGAATACTTTTAATTAAAATGGCAGAAAAAATGCATGAAGGTTTTATTTTTGCATTTAATACTGCGAAGTTTTCTCTAGTAACTGGGAAGGTTAAAATTTCTATTGCTATATGTGGACTTTCTCCTGCCCTTAATATTCCATTATTTAGTTAGTATTCAGTTTCACGGAGAGAGAGCCAATTAATTAAGTTAGACAGCTGGAGACATATTGTCAAAGTTCGAGAAGCGAAGCAAAGGTTCATCACCTTGCCTCCAACAATTTATTCTTAGTTACCAACTTATTTTCATTCAGTTTGCAAATTTCTATGTATTAAAGTCACATTGTAGTTTTATTATAAACAACCAAGTTTTTAACTCTTTGTAAACAGATCTCAAAAATGACCTACGAGTTGGACAGACTGGGTTTGGGTGAGACCACGCGACTTTAACATTGAATGAACTTAAAATTTTTCCAATTTTATTTTTCGGAATCGAAAGTTTAAACGATTCTGCGTCGATAAAAAAACAAATTGAAAAACTTCTTAGTAATTTCGAAGATAGATAAGAGCGTTTAAGAAAAACTAATTTTTACTATACTATACTATTTTAGAAACACCGATACACAATTTTTGAGTGGGTCTGGGAGACCTATGTCTATCAGTAAAGGGCAAGGAGCTACGTTTTCGAATATCGCTCTTCTTCGCGACATTTTGAACAAAAATTTTTAGGAAGAGAAAATAGAACGGACCAGAGATATGAGATTGAGGAAGCGAGTGGGGTGTGAAAAAGCGATATGAACGGACGTGAGCTTACATATATATGTACATATATATATATATATATATATATATATATATCGAAAGGAGAGATAATGATGAAGGTTGGAAGCGAGTGGTTACGAGAAGTGAGAAAGCGTGCTCAATACGTGTTTTCTTTATCATGTTTTATCATCAAATCGTGAGGTAAACGGAGTGCATATCTGACTTGAAGCACGGTCAAATTTTTGATACCTGTTTAATATATATGTATTGGTTACATTTTGCTTGTTTTTACACAAAAAAGATAAATGTTTGTAAATTTGTGTTTCTCTCGTTCTTTTTTTTTATATATATAAATACGTAGAGTTTATATATATATATTGTATATAAATACATAGAGTTTATCTCCATATTTCCCCCGGTTGTTGTTTTGTTGTATTATTTCACATTTTTCGTGAGTTGTTACTACAGCTATGTATATTGTTTATTGCGTTTTTACAGTAAAATTTTACCTTTCGTTGCAGTAATTTTCTGTGCACGTAAACATATTTTCTGCGCACTGGCCAAAAAATCCCTTGTTGTAACGCCCGAGCGTAAAGTCAACGGACTGTGATGAAATTTTTAATCGTGAAATCACGGGACCGTCGCGTCGTCACGAAGTGCCAATTTCTGAATTCGCCCTTCGTTAAACTCGTCAAACAACCTTGCCGAGGGAGTACTTTATCAAGGGCTTGGTTGCTCAGCACACACCGAGCTGTCATCGACTTCTTACACCGACAATGATTTTGATGAGGGGAAATAAAATCGCGCGAACA